TGTCTATTGTTATATGGATAATTTCTGTAATGCAGGAGGAGGTTGGAAAAGAGTGGCCAAACTTGACATGAAGAACAGTAATGAGAATTGTCCCGGTGAATTAAGATTGTATCATCAAGATGGTAAACGTGCTTGTGGTAGACCAGTCAGTGACAGTGGTGGTTGCTCTGGGACAATTTTTCCTGTTAATTATGAATATTCTCAAGTTTGTGGCAAAGTTCTTGGTTATCAGAAGGGTCATCCCGATGGACTATATCAAAGTGATAGAGTCAGTCTAACTCACGGTACCTCTCAGTCTCATATTTGGTCATTTATTCCTTCTGGAAGTGAAGGGCTTTCTGATTGTCCTTGTTCCTCCTCCCCTAGAAATATAAATGCTCCTACTTACATTGGATCTGATTATTACTGTGAATCTGCTGAAAACAATGGATTGCCTTCAGATTTTAATCATTTATATACGAATGATCCATTGTGGGATGGTCAAAATTGTCGTTCCAGTGAAGCAGGATGTTGTAAGCGTCCTCTTATTCCCTGGTTTCATAAGAAGTTTGGTTACACCACTACTGATTATATTGAAATGAGGTTTTGTTTCAATGAAGGGACTCATGATGAAGACAGTCCTGTATTCCAGTATGAAATATATGTTAAATAACTTGACAGTATTTTATTTGGTGCCTTTAGTATAGAAATAGTTGGTGCTAGTTTTTTAGTGTCGAGTGTGTGCTATTAATTTGCTTTAATAATAACATTATAGCTGCTCTATTGCATCTTTGGTATTATAGAAATAGTTTTTTGTGTGCTATTAAATTTTATTAAATTTTTTAATAATAGCAATTCTAGTGATGATATTGTGGCAATGTGTCTAAGCTAATGAATCCAGCAATGATAGTTTCCTGCTACTACAGTTTATAGTATTAAACATACATTAATGTTTATAGGCTACAACAACTCTCACGATTGCTAAGAATACTAAAATTATGAAACTAAAATTATGTGCAAAGCAAACTAGCCTAAATTGCAATAAATGTAAACAAGAAACAAATCAACAACAACACTGACTCAATCTTGTCTTTAAAAACCCCCTCCATCATGAGTTAAATTATTATTTTGCCATTTTTACATTTTGAACTCGTTTTATTTCAAGCGGTAATTGAGGGCCAGTGGGGCAATGCCCCAAGATGTTTTTGAATGTAAACTGTGGTACTTGACTATGTAACAATCTTTAGACCACAAATGAGCTCACGATCACGCCTTTGTTGACCACACCACTCATTACCATCCCCTCTCATTCCCCTCTAGCTCTGTATCTGGACTGGGATCTGTGTTCCGCCCCTGATTTCAATGGCCTGGCTCTTCATTTAATCCACCCATCTTTTTTGCCCTTGCATATAGTGTTACATGATGGCACTGATGGATGGATTGGATTGCCTTTTGCTGCTATGTTTCAGTCTATGTGCATTGTATTGGCAGTGCTTTATACTGCTACATATGATGGAAATGTAGTCACTACTGAAAGTTTAACAATACTTCAACGTATGGAACTATTGCTTAATGCCTCTATCACTAGTATGAATGAAAGACTTAATACTATATCTCAAAATATGCAATCTATGGAAACCCGTATAGATCTTTTATCAGAAACACAGAAGACCGGCACTCTTAATGACTTGTATGAAAAACTTAATCAATCATCCTTACCACGATCATGTGCTGAAGTACTTAAAAACTCATCAAACAGCCCTTCTGGTTATTATAATTTAACTGATCCAAATGGTTATCCTGATAGTGTCTATTGTTATATGGATAATCTCTGTAATTCAGGAGGACGTTGGAAAAGAGTGGCCAAACTTGACATGACTAATAGCAATGAGAACTGTCCCACTGGATTAAGATTGTATTATCAAGATGGTGGACGTGCTTGTGGTAGACCAGTCAGTGGCAGAGGTAGTTGCTCTGGGACAATTTTTCCTGTTAATTATGAATATTCTCAAGTTTGTGGTAAAGTCATTGGATATCAGAAAGGTTTTCCTGATGGACCAGATGGTAATGATAGAGTCATTCTAACTCACGGTACCACTCAGTCTCACATTTGGTCATTTTTTCCTTCTCCAAGTGAAGAACATTCTAATTGTCCTTGTTCCTCCTCCCGTAGAGCTATAAATGTTCCTAGTTACATTGGATCTGATTATTACTGTGAATCTGCTCAAACTAGTGGATTTCCTTCTAATTTAAATCATTTTATATACGGATGATCCATTGTGGGATGGTCAAAATTGTCGTTCCAGTGAAGAAGCATGTTGTAAACGTCTTCTTATTCCATGGTTTCACAAGAAGCTTGGTCATACTACTACTGATTATATTGAAATGAGGCTTTGTTTCAATGAAGGGACAAAACAGTCCTGTATTCCAGTATGAAATATATGTTAAATAACTTAATTGGTGCCTTTAGTATAGAAATCGTTAGAAGTAATGATGAACCTCTATCTGTTTTATATCACACACACACACGGTGTCATTTATTACATCCATGTTATTATTATTATTAAATAAATTGCAATTTTAGATTTCATGCTCAAAATAAAGCTAGGTTGTTGAACTCATTTTATTTAAATTCTACCATGCTTGTTTTGATTCTGAATTGACCAATCAGATTGCATTACTACTGATTGCATTACTAGTCCCTAGGAATTTATTTTATCCTAAACCACGCCTTACAACCGTAAAAAAACGAACGGTCTAATTAACGCGCTGCTTTACGCGCACTTCTCAACTGGAGTAAGATGGCGGATTTTTTGGTGAACAGGTAGGCTAAACATTTTCCTCTTTCATCAAATCATCTTTACTGTAGGAGCCACTTTGAGCTCTCTTTTTGTTTCATCTTACTCTACCTATTTCTTCTGTAAGCTCTTTGGTTGTTGTTTTGGCTTTTAAAGCAGTTTTTTATAGGCCTATTCTCATCCTTTGCCAACTGATTCCCGTTTTGGTAAATTTTGCTTCCAGGAGCCAGGGCGCTTGCCACTTCGTTGCTATCAAGACAGAAGTGTATTCACCTGAGTCCTATGACTAATTTCTATCATCAGACTTAGTCTCAGTCCATCAGGACAAGGTACGGTGGAATAACTCACTCAGTTGTCATGTTGCAGCTGGAGTGTGGATGATATGACCATCTTTTCACTTCTTAAAACTATAGGATTGGTCTTTATTCACATGTAAGAATCACTCCAAGGATCATCAGTGTGCTGGAATAGCTGTGCATCGAGTAACTAGCTGTTAATATTGATGTCTAGAATGAAGTTAAACGCTTCCATGATTACATGATTTGTGATGTTAATATAAATGTTAATTACAACATTTGTCTTTCTTAACGTCCAGATAGTTTCAAATTATTGTGAATGTACATGTATAAACTCTTTATAATAAAATATGTGTAAATACAAGAGGCATCATGTATACAAACGCAATGTAGTGATAACAACAATAATAACTGCAGCAACAATACCCATTATGTTTTTTATGATTATAAATATCAAATAAAACTGTCAAGAGAGGATGCAAATGGTGACAAGCCACAAACGAGTGCTAAATGTGATGATTCCTCTCTGCAAGTACTGGATAGTGACACAGACTTTAATACAACACAAGAGGCTCCTACAGTACAAGCTGTGAATTTACAGATAAAGAATGAGAGCCAGAGAGTTCTTGCATCCCTCAACTATCCATAAAGAGCCATCCTATAGTTTTAAGAAGTGAAAAGATGGTCATATCATCCACACTCCAGCTGCAACATGACAACTGAGTGAGTTATTCCACCGTACCTTGTCCTGATGGACTGAGACTAAGTCTGATGATAGAAATTAGTCATAGGACTCAGGTGAATACACTTCTGTCTTGATAGCAACGGAGTGGCAAGCGCCCTGGCTCCTGGAAGCAAAATTTACCAAAACGGGAATTGCCAAAGGGTGATAATAGGCCTATGAAAAACTGCTTTAAAAGCCAAAACAACAACCAAAGAGCTTACAGAAGAAATAGGTAGAGTAAGATGAAACAAAAAGAGAGCTCAAAGTGGCTCCTACAGTAAAGATGACTCGATAAAAGAGGAAAATGTTCAGCCTGCCTGTTCACCAAAAAATCTGCCATCTTACTCCAGTGGAGAGGTGCGCGTTAATTAGACCGTTCGTTGCATAAGGTGATTAAGGTCCATTCTAATAATCTTCCTACGCATTCAATTCTCGCCTAGGGTGGTCTATGATGGCACTGATGAATGGATTGCCTTTTGCTGCTATGTTTCAGTCTATGTGCATTGTATTTGCAGTGCTTTATACTATTACATATGATGGAAATGTAGTCACTACTGAAAGTTTAACAATACTTCAACGTATGGAACTAATGCTTAATGCCTCTATCACTAGTATCAATGGAAGACTTAATACTACATCTCAGAATATGCAATCTATGGAAACCCGTATAGATCTTTTATCAGAAACACAGAAGATCACTCTTGGAAGACTTAATACTACATCTCAGAATATGCAATCTATGGAAACCCGTATATCAGAAACACAGAAGACCACTCTTAATGAATTGTATAAAAAACTTAATCCATCATCGTTACCACGATCATGTGTTGAAGTGCTTGAAATTTCATCAGGCAGTCCTTCAGGTTATTATAGTTTAGCTGATCCAAATGGTTATCCTTATAGTGTCTATTGTTATATGGATAATTTCTGCAATGCAGGAGGAGGTTGGAAAAGAGTGGCCAAACTTGACATGAAGAACAGTAATGAGAATTGTCCCGCTGAATTAAGCATGTATCATCAAGATGGTAAACGTGCTTGTGGTAGGCTAGTCAATGACAGAGGTAGTTGCTCTTGGATAATTTTTCCTGTTAATTATGAATATTCTCAAGTTTGTGGTAAAGTCATTGGGTATCAGAAAGGTTTTCCTGATGGTCCAGATGGTGATGATGGAGTCATTCTAACTCTTGGTACCTCTCAATCTCACATCTGGTCATTTTTTGCTTCTTCAAGTGAAGAGCATTCTAATTGTCCTTGTTCCTCCTCCCCTAGAGCTATAAGTGTTACTAGTTACATTGGATCTGATTATTACTGTGAATCTGCACACACTAATGGATTTCCTTCAAATTTCACTTTTTTATATACAGATGACCCACTGTGGGATGGTCAAACTTGTCGTTTCAGTGAAGCAGCATGTTGTAAACGTCCTCTTATTCCCTGGTTTCATAAGAAGCTTGGTCATACTACTACTGATTATATTGAAATGAGGCTTTGTTTCAATGAAGGGACTCATGATGAAGACAGTCCTGTATTCCAGTATGAAATATATGTTAAATGACCTGGCAGTATTTTATTTGGTGTCTTTAGTATAGAAATAGTTGGTGCTAGTTTTTTAGTGTCGAGTGTGTGCTATTAATTTGCTTTAATAATAACATTATAGCTACTCTATTGCATCTTTGGTGTTATAGAAATAGTTTTTTGTATGCTACTAAATTATTAGAATTTTTATAATAAAAATTCTATAGTTATGATATTGTGGCAATGCATCAATGATAGTTTCCTGCTACTACAGTTTATAGAGTAAGCCACTGATTACTTGATCGCGCACCATCTATATTCGAACATCATTTCTCACAGTTGGCTGAGCAGAAGGCATTAATAACACATCTGCTATCATATCATTCAGATGTATCAGGAATAAACT